AGAAAACAAGGACCGATCTCCCCCTCCCCCCAAGACCAGCCACGCACTTAAAACTCCTCTGGTGTGTAAATAGGCGACGCCAATTGCCTATCATCGGATGATCCGCGTTATCATTATTCTGTCCCTTAAAAAAATAAATGTGTAGCATAGTTTGTAGTGTTGTTGAACCCTTACGCTAGTGTCGACAGTTGGTCGTCACTATCAAATATTCATGCATTGCGGCTATGCATTGCGACAAGGCGATACATGTTTAAAATAATCTCATGTAAAAGAAGTATGTCATAGTACAAATTTTGTTACTTTTACTCTAGATTTTGACTGAAGGAACGAGGTTTCTTCTGAATCTACTAATGTCATAAAAGCATACATATTTTGTTTAGTTTGTTTGTCTTTTCTTTAGATGGCAATGGAGCGGTTTTATAATAGACTTTTATTTTTTGAGGGGGGAAAATTATCCAATGACTTCTCCCGCCCGGGTGAGGCGGGAGGGAGTGTCAGACTCTTACTGACTAAAAACCACCCCGTTCCTACTTCTGCACTTCGAGCCGGAGCCCCGGCAACCCGTTAAGTCTTCCGCGGCTCCGTATCGGCATCAGCCCTGTTAGGCCCTATCTGTGGTGGTCTGATGGCTCCTTGAGGCGCGCGCGGAACGCGACGCGCCGTTTTAAAATAGACTAGATACTTACACTTGCGCTGTCTTCACCAGCTGCTCCACTCCATTTTGTCATAGCGTGATGTTTTGTAGCTTTTCTCAATAAATGCACTATCAACGAGGTTTCGAAGACTAGCGTGTTTAAAAAAAAATTCTTCAGCTTTCTTTACACCGTAAAATCAATTTTGTTTTCTTCCAGAATTAAATAGTTATGTATTGGTAATACAATAGTTATACAAATTAATAAAATGCCTAAAACAAAAAATAACTGGTGAACTATATTGCATAAAGCAAACTTCGAAAGCGCATACGAACTCATAGTACATTATCAAAACATACGCCATGTAATTTTGAAAGAGGTATTTCTCGTCGGGTGGCACACAAATTTAATTTACGTCCAGTGTTTCATGTGCCTATTTCCATGAATTTTTTTTAAAGTAAAAAGAAATACACATTATTTTTGTTTTTACTTTTGTTTTCATAATATTTGATTTCACGGTGTATTAAAAAAAAGTATACAAATGGAAACTTAAAAAAAAGTTTTTATGCAAATGGATCAGTACGTACGTTTTTACAAAATGCAAAAAATAACAACAAAAAATAATAAGTACAGTTAATACAAACATATCGTTTTCAATTAATTCGCGTGTAGAAGTACAAGTACTACAACGAACAGCGAATCATAAGTTAATTAGTTCAAACATGTTTTTAATTAAACTTCCTTGCGGTACACCGCTCATAACATGTTCTCGTTACTCTTATTTATTTTGTCAATAAATCAAGTAGTGCATGTATTGCGTTTATTAAAAAAAACAGTTATTTTGTAATTTAAAAATATAATATTGAGCTTATTATTTTTAAAAGATGCAGTGGGCTGTACGCATTTTATATGTAAAACTATCTAACCTTTCACAAATTATGTTTTGAGTCCTGTGAAGGCAATAGGGATAGGATCGGTTTAGTCTTGAAAGAGCTACACTTTTCGAAATCCATTGCTCTCGGGTTGGTACCTGAAAATCATCGGAGATCCTTTGCTGAACATTCGCTTCTCCACCAGTCGACTAACGAGTACGTATAAAAAGGATTAATTAACCAGATACATATTCAGACTCCGTTCAAGTAGGCTACCAGTTAGTACTTTGCCTGAACTGTAAATTGACCCTGACTTCAGCAGTGTTTTTATGGCAGCAGATGGACTATCTAATGGTAAGCAATTAGCACCGGTCATGGACACTTTTTTTAAAGGGGTAAATAATGGAATGTCTTCTCCCGCCTGGGTGTAGCGGAAGAGAGTGTCAGACTCTTATTGACTAAAAACCTCCCCGTTCCTACTCCTGCACTTCGAGCCGGAGCCCCTTAACCCGTTAAGTCCTACGTGGCTTCGTATTGGCATCAGCCCTATTGGGCCCCATCTGTGGTGGTCTGATGGCTCTTTGAGGCGCACGCGACCGGTCATGGCCACTAGCATTGGAGATTTGGGGATCCAAGAAGGCGAGGAGCGAGAAATTAAGCCACCTTAACCTGGTAACCTTACTTACACGGCGCAACACAGTGCAAGCGTTGTTTCACGTCTATTTTCTGCAAGGGCAATACTCAGTCGAACTGAATGTTCATTCAGTGAGCCGATTTATTCATCAAACAAATCATAAAGGAAATGCCGTCCAATTAAAAGTCAGTCCCCAAGTTATATACATCACTTTATATCCTATTTGAACACGTCAATGAATCCGGTACACGGACAAAAATACTATGGAATCGTCTCATTCCTCGGAAAATTCAGTTAGTGAAATACAAAAGAGGCCTGCACTCCATTGTGTTTATTGTCCGTCCTTTTCTTATGAGGCCATCCTTTTGTTATAAGGGAATTATGAATTCTGGAACTTAGCCCTGACTGCGAGTAATTGGGGAAAAGATATAGAAGGACCGAAAAAGATTTTTGGGATTCTTTTGTCAATATCATGACATTTCGTTGTTTTCATATTATTTGGAAATATAATGTTACTAGTTATTTTCCTTTCCAGTCTTTGCACTATGTAGGCTTATTTTCGAACCTTCTTGGTTAATTTTTAAAATCCATTAATTTAAATCGTGTAGTCGTGTACTTTTCTGTGGCGGTTAATAGTATTAGTTTATTTTCTAACACCGATTTCTGTTTACATAAAAAAAAACCATATTTCCTACCTTTAAACCTTTGTGCTTTAATCTTTTTTATCAACCAAAAAATTATCATTAGATATGGGGAAAAAAAAACATACTACATCTTTAGCTGACTCCACGTTTATAAATCTGAACTTTAATGCCATAAACATATGATATTAAAAGAAAATATAAGTCGTTTGACGTAAAAGGGAATATTTCTTTAAATAAATAAACATTCGTGTATATTTTAGCTCTTAACATCTCTTTAATCTATTTGCGTAGAAGCAACCTCAACTTTATTTTGGAAGCGGAAAATGTAGTTTTTGCTAAATAGAAAGGTTTAAACGTCGTGGATATTTATCGTTTCTGCAAAGCAGCTGTAAGGCTATTGGCCTTCTTAAAGATTTTCTACTTTCTATTGGAAAGGAGTTAAATGAGTAGACGTATCACGTGGATGGTAAGTGATCAGGGTTATACTTAGACATCCGCAAGACCAGAGCAGTCCCTCAGTCGTCTCTTATATTATCTTTAGAGTGACGAAGTGGTGATATATGTATTCTACTCAGCTATTATTAAACTACAAAGGATTCAGAGAGCCAAGCACGAATAACTATCGCATCTGTAACGTGATAGCGTCAAGTGTGGGAGAGTCATGTTTCGGCACGAATGGGCCGGCTTGACCGGAGTGATACCACGGCCTCACAGATAACCGACGTGAAACAACGCTTACGTTGTATTTCGTCGTGTGAGTATGGTCACCGGAGGCTGAATTACCCCCCCCCC